AGTTTTTTTTCAAAATTGTATCACTCAATCGGTTCCGTGAAAAAACTTATGCTTTTTGCTATCGATTAAGCAATGAAAACAACTTGAAACGTTTCAAAGATTGATTGCTCAAGCTCATAAATTGGATTGGAAAAAAATAAATTTCTCGCTTATAGATCAAACATTTACTTATAGATCAAACAAAGTAATTTAAAATTTTCTTCAACCTCAACCGAAGAACAAAAGTTTCAGTGTTTGAATGGCAGGTTTTTGTTAATCGGCTTAAGGTATGAAAAACCAAAAATGTTTCATGTAGAGCCGATTGATTACTTGGAAACGGGCGTGCTTGATTTAACAAAAAACAATCTTCTGGCCGAACATGGTTGTACTTTCTCTGCGTCTTTTGATTTTTTCTGGCTGTTTTGTTCTCACCAATGAATGAAGCAAACGCTGGCGTCGTGTTCTTGTGAGATATTCTCGACTTTTTATATCATAGATTAAAGAGAGTGCCAAATCAGACAAAATTCTTGAAACAGAGCAAATGCCCTGTTATAGAAAATTTTTGCATAAAGATCATTATTGAAGACTAAAAGTGTATCTCGAGGCCGCCTAAAAAATCGAATATACATGCAAAATTGGTTGAAATAGGCGGATGGCTTTTCTTAATTAGTTCTGTCTGTTCCAATTTTTTGCAACTTAAAGTAGTTTGATTGAGTCGACGTCATGCTCTCAAATCTCGACCAGATAGGTTTGTACATTTCTTTATTCCAATAGTGATTTTTAGTCCTACTTTACTTGAAATATAGTTAGTCTTCTTTCCAAGAGACCGACTGCATTTTATTAAATTCAAAATATGTTAAAATATGTAAACGAAAAATATTTAGGGGCTAGTTATGAAATCTAAATGGTTTGTGATTCATATTTTGCAATCAGTTTAAAGCAAGATCTGGGCTAGATTACGAAGGAAAACTTCTAATGGAAATGTTTTATTACAGACAAGTTGTCAATCCTGTGATTGGGTTATTAAAAAATAGAAAACTCATCAATTGACATTTCACTTAGAGCTAGAAATTTAATTGTGAGTGATAGGCTAGAAGCGAACTAAAAGTTTAAGAAGGTGCTTTGGTACAAACAAAAATTGAAAAGTATAGGAGAAAGTCTTACATAAAAAAAAATTGTTTATAAAAAAGATTAGTAAATTTGATTCACAAAAATTTGAAGAAAAAAACCAAAATTTTTATAAGTAATTAAGAATTGAGTCACAAACTGGTTCAAAATTGATCATTCAAAAAATCAGAGATGGTGCATTGTTTTTTTGTCAAGAGCTTTTCCGAAATCGCGAAGTGGTTTAGGAATGAAGCTTTTCACTTCTTACTTATTTGATTGTTAATTTTCGTGCTGGTCCTAAGATGATAACCTCTTCACAAAAATAAGATACGGCACTCTGAATATGCGTAAACTTTCTAAACTTTCACAAATAGTCTCTGCTTTAAAAATAAGCCCAACAAAAATAAGCAGAAAAAGGATAGTCCGAAAACACAAATTTTTCCAGGTATAAAAAATTTCAGTTCTAGGCGGAATTTAAGCCCCATATTCAAGGCTACCAAAGCGAGCATCTTAACATCAGAGAAAAAAGAAACGGTTTATACATTACTGAGGTTTCATTATACATCAAAATTAATTTCTAGCAGATTTAGGGGAAAAAACGTCTATTCAAGACTTACAACACCTCTCTCACAAATGAAATCGGTTTAGTAGAAGTGAGCGTTAATAGCTGCATCACCGAATCTTGTGCGCTATGCTCAAAAAATGTTTGAGATAAAGTAGTTTTTACACAGAAGCGAAACGCAGCTTCGCATCACTTGCGATACAGCACAAAAATAAAAAAATTAAAAAGTGTTGAAAAAAAACTAGAACTAAGACTTCCGTATGTCTCGATAAAAGATGGGCGTAGCTAAAACTGGAGGTAGCTGTTATGATAACTTTGTTATACTGATGTGAGATGAATAAGGCAATTTTAAATTCCAATGCCCAAAACCATAGTTGTTTCTCTGCTAAAAAAAGAGCAAAAATTTAAAAGAAATTGAATCCCTAACGAAGACAAAAACTTAGGGAGCCGCTTCTACAGAAAAAATTCTCGCAACCGTTTTATTCGATTGAACCTCAGGGTAGTTTATAAAAAAAAGTCAGAAAGTTTCCAAAAACGGTCAAAAGTTCAAAAACTTGATTTTCCCAAAAACAACAGCTTTATTGCTGCAAAAAAGGTCGTTGCCACGTTAGCAGAGAGATTTCCAAAACCGAGTTTATCGATTGACCAAATAAATTTCAGAATTTTCCGGGTAGTTTTCCAGAGAAGTCAAAAAATTTCCAAAAAGATTTCAATAAATCGAAAAGCTTTTTTTTCCGAGAACCAAAGCTTTATTTGTGAAAAACATTTTCGCTTATACAGTAGCATATTTGAAAAATCTTCGAAAAACCTATTTGTGAAAAACCGTAGCCGCTTATACAGTACCTTTTCACACAAACTGTTATCTCAATTACGCGCAAAAACTCAGATTACAGAGGGTAGTTTTTGAAAAAAGTCAATCAGTTTCAAAGTTTCAAAAAAAAAAAACGGTTAAAAAATGTCTTTTCCGACGGCCCTAACATTTGTAATAGAAAAAAATGGGCTTAATCGATTATGCAGGGGCGCTTTCTACATCAGATTGTTTTGATTGAGCCCAAAACCTCATATTTGGGAGTCGAGCTTTTGAGAAACAATTAAATCAAAAATGGTCAAAAATCATAGCCAAATATGCAGGGAACTTTCCCACAAACCGTTCTTTAGATTGAACTAAATACTTCAGATTTGGACGGGTAGTTTTTCAAAGACCAAAAAGATTTAAAAAATGGTTAAAATTTGAATATTTGTTTTTTTCCGAGGGCCCTAACTTCTGAGGAAAAAATTTGAGCTGAGTTGATGATGCAGTTGTTTTGACTGAACTTTAAAAACTAACCTTGTGTTTATTATGAAGCAAGTAATTTAGAAATTTTAATCAGAAATATTTAATACACCCGGCAACTAAACCGACAAAAATTGGGACGAAATTCATGAAGCCGACCAAAAAATTAAATTTTAATCTGAAAAAAGTTTCCCAGTAATGAGCATTGCACCCATGAGTTAAGCAAGTCAGCAGACATGAGGATGAGACATGAGCTTATATGCAATTGATTCAACAATTTTGTTAAATTTGTTAATAACCCGAAAAAAGTCTTAGGTTACAATTTCTCCTGGCGATCTGCATGAAGTTGTGATTTAGTAGTTTGATTCAGGTTTCAAATGCATACAAAAGTGCCGAAGTACGAGAAAGCATAAATTAAATTAAGTGTTTCAGGGCTTCGAAACTTAATTTCAAAACAAGGTTTACTACGTATATTGACTCTTCATTACTTTTTTCATGTTAATACAATTGTCACAAATTTTGTCGTTTCTCTTAGAAAAGCGTGTAATACTTAACATTTGCGTTTCAAATTGATCGTAATTTCCTGAACAGATCTAAAGGAAACAAAACACTGACTTTGTTGAAAAATTCTCAACTATCGAAATTCTAAGAAAAACAGATGCCCTTTTAACTCTTTGAAATTTTAGATTATTTTATGATTAGAGCTTTTTTGGAAACATAATCCCAACTAGAGAAAACTGGATCAATAGGTTAAGTTTTTATTCCAGTGGAAATCTAATAATTAAATTCCACTTTCTAAACTGAAAATTGTTCGTTTTCTTTTGAGCCATTTCAACGTTCATATTCGGAGAGTGCTATTTACGTAACTTTCAGCAGATGAATTTCAACTGAACTCAAAAAGTGCATATATACCTAAGTGCATTAATATGATTGAATGTACATCTTTAGTAATTAGAGCATTTTAAGACTTTCCTGCAAAAAAATAACCAAGACCGTTATAAGAGTCTTTGCTACATTACTTTTTCTTAAAAAGAATGTTTTTTTGAAAACTTCCCCCTACGTTATGCAAGGTACAAAATGATTCCTCATTTTAATTGGGAATGATTAATGAAAGGATAAACTAGCCATTTACGCGTTAATAGCACAGGGCGATACCTGCAGATGTTAAAACTTCTGACAAATGGCAATTTACCAAAGTCGATATTGGTCTGGAGAAAAAAATATCACCTCGAGCACAAATATTCCGTCACTTTCTTCGAAATTCGGAACAATAAACTTCTCACAATCTTTTCATTTCAATTTCGTCTATACTTACAGAAAAAGTAATTTTGAATTGACAAGTTAAAAATTATTTCATTTTCGCATATCAGTTGCAATTCAATGTCTCCCACATTCAACTTCTACAGGAAAACAACCCAAGCACTCTTTTTTCGCTCTTTACTTCTCCTTCCGCTATACGATAAAAACTACGTTCGGTAAAAAGCGTTCAATAAATTCAATTGTGGAAATAATCAATGGCAATAATAAACAGCCGAAATTAAGAGATTCAGGTCTCAAGATAGAACAGAACAGTGTATTGCACTAAAAAGCAGTAAGTCCAGATTACTTACACGTAACATTCAGCTTAAGGTCATCAAAACACGACATGGCAAAAATGTGCGGAAAATGAAATTTTTTAACCACTTATTAGATTATGCCATAATTGCTGTTTTTCGTCGGGAAGAAAACGATATTCTCGGGCATTAAATTCAAAAAATTAGAGTCATCTTCCAAGCTTACTCAGTGCTTATCAATAATGCGTTTTATGTGAACATTTATTTTGGTTTCAGTTTTAATTAGGAATTGTAAATTATTCAAGCTTTTTATGGAATTGTATGAAAAGACGTTTTTCAATTATGGAAATTGTATGCTAAGAAGTTTAGGTCACCTGGAATTTTCAGTACACACCTAAGAAACTACATTCTTTGATTCACTTAAACTCCAAAACTCTGCGATTTGCAAATGATGCCGAATTAGACAGTAATTATACAGGATTCTGCGCCGCAGATTTGAGCCATGCCTGATCGAACTCACATGGAATGATTTGATTCATTTAATTTAGACAAACTAAAATACACACAGCAAAAGAGTTCATGATTAGTTTTTCAGCAGTGCTAACATTCATTTGGGTCAGAAGTTCAGTTCAGCTCAGATCAGTTGTTCTGATTTGATCTTTTGTTCTTGGGTCTCTTGCCACTAGATGATGAAGATGAGGAAGTCGGTTCCTGCTGTTGCTCCTCGTGGTCTGCTGTGGACATAGGCGGCCGAGGCTTGGCCAGATCAGTGAGACTCATGTTGGCATCTTCGTGCAGACCAGCTAGCTCGTCTTCTTGGATTTCTGCAACAAAGATGAGTGAACATCACCAGCGGATTTAGGTGGGGTGGGCGTTTGCCCCCTGTCCCTAAGGGATTCGATCCACTGCCGACCCAAAGAGAAGAGTTCCTCTTTGTACTATTTTGAGATATCTTTTTTTGGCTGACGAACCCTTGAATTTTTCTAAAGGCACCAAAATATACTTATTTTGAGGGGGGAGCGCGCGCCGAAAAAACGCAATTTTTTTGGTCAAAATTTTACAAAAAGTGCCTATAAACGCCTTATTTACCTGTTTTTTGAATCAAAACTTTGCGCGCTGCGCAAAAAATTTGGTCAAAAGGGCCTTTATAGTGATTTTGGAAAGCTCAGAATATCAATTGGGTCGACCTAAAAAAAAAGGTGGACAAAACGCTCGACATTTTTTTGAAAATCCGCCCCCCCCCTCGAGAAAATTCTAGATCCGCCCCTGGTGAAGATGAAATTTATAATATAGGTGATAACAAAAAAAGTGGAAGAAATTCACAGAAATCAAAAAAACCGAAAAATTACTGATTTTTGAAGTCTTGTCAAAAATATACAAAGGGCACTAGGGCTCTTCGAATTTCAAGAATTATATTTGATTGACGCCGTTTTGATAAACTTAACAAACCCAATCACTCAATTTGAGACACAGGCGAATTGGATCTTCACACTAATTGCAATACAACACAAACATAGCTTTGTTAGCTAGGCGACAAAAAAAGAGCCGGAAGTCACCAAGTAAAGAAATTTAAAATAAAAAAGTAAACCAAAATATCCTGAGAACGGCAAAAAAGGCCTTTAGCTAACATTGGTGCAAAATTTACAAAGCGGTAAATAAACTGACAATAATTGAGTGGAAATTCTTCGGCCGAAAAAAATATGTCTCAAGAACCCCGAAACTTAAAAGTCCTATTTTTTTCCAATAAAATGACGCCATATGAGGCTACTAAACAAAGATAACAAACGCAGAAACCTTAGAAGAATAAACCTTAAAATGAAAAAAAAAACAGCCAACAGACGGTTGTAAAAGATTCAATAAACGCTGAATCATTGAATTACCTCAATTTGAGCAAACTGGATCAATAGGTAAAACTTTTATTCCGCTGGAAATCTGGAAAATAAAATACACTTTCAAAACTAGAAATCGATCACATTTTTTGCGACCTTTACACTTTTGCTGGTCGAAAGTGAATTTTTTTCCTTTTAACAAAAAGAAATGAACTGAACTTCAAAAGAAATCATAAATCAAACAGCGAAACAGTAAATTTGAGCCTAAATTTAAAAAAAATTATCACGACCTATATAAGAATTTGAACTACGTTCATCGACTTTTAAAATCAAACTAAACCAAAACGTGAGTTGGTAAGCAAATAGAATTTTTTTAAAAAATATTGAGCAGAACGGGTATTTCAAATGCAAAAAGCCCGAATACGCCTATTGCGCTTAAATGCCAACAGAGGCCTCCAGAAGAAAAGTTCTGTAAAAGGCCTCCAGGATATGCATCCTTTGAACAAAAAAAAATCACGCGAAAAAGCTTAGCACCCGAGTTAATAAATTGCAATAATGAGATTGCAATAAATTTGCTCACGCAGCGAAAAAACTAGATGAAAGGGTAAATTTTTCTTCATCTTGGAAATCTTAAAATTAAACTCGACTTTCGAAAAGCAAAGTCATTCACGTTTCTACGCACTATTGCATTTTTATTATTGGAAAACTTTTTGTAAATAAACTTAAGTGAACTGGATAAGAAATCAAAATTAAATCACAAAATAGTCTTATTGGTCAAAACCTTATTCGTCAAAGCATTTAAAAATTTGAAAAACTACGACTTATATAATTCTCTTCACTGCCTTGATTGACACTTAATAAATCACTCATTTTACGATAACCTCACTTTTTATCGAAGTAATGCTTTATAATCAATGACTGGGGAGACGCACTGGATTACTTATTGGAGAAATCGGATGCTGTAAAAAAGCGGACAAAAAAACAGAATATGAACCAATATCAGAAACAGTACACGAAGGCTATCTGAAACTGAACAACAAAATACAGCAAGACGAAAGCCATCTCTTGCAAACAAGAACCATGTATTCAGAGAATAAGCTCCGGACAACGTCGACATGTGAACTCGCAGAAGAGGAGAAATATTTGAGCATGTTTCCTAACCAACTGTAAGAAACACACCTTTGTAATTACATAAAACGACACGATTGACATCCTTGTTTATGTTTGCATTGGGAAATTTTCGTTTGAAATCTGGGCTTATGCAATTTGAGGATAATTTAATCTAATCTATTGTCACCAGCAGGGGATATGATCAACTAATTAGACAACCTTCCGTCATTTCATCTTCGTCCTCATCCTCTGCGTCAACTTCCTCGTCATCGTCATCATCATCATCATCATCCACATCCTCGTCCAATCCAGACGCATTGAAGTCCTCATCCTCATCATCGTCATCTGGTACCTACACAGAGGAGACCACACACCAATCACTTATTGGTTTAAATGGTTTGATTTGCACTCTTATCAACATTCAAGAAACGGAAGCCCCGCTTACAATTCACTTTGGAGATATGCCAGTGATATGAGTTTTTAATCTGAGTCAGTGACTTCAACAAAGCTCACTTTTTTCACCGCTTGATTCAACTTAGACCCAAAAATAGCTGGCAAAAACTATTTTTTGAAAAAATCTGATTTGACAATTGTGGGATCCAAAACAAGAATGATTGCTCAAAAAAGAGATGCTTAAAAATCGCAAGGTTGTTGAATAGATGTGGTGTGTGTATATAAATAGTTATAGCTGACAATAGTCTGCAATATTCTCTTGAGATGCATGTCATACATAAACTTGCACTTATTTCTAACTTTGCTCAAGGAGCTGGTTTATCACGGCACCATCACTAAATGGCGTGTGGTTACCTTGGAGAGGTTGCCCATCAATTGAGACACAGTGACTGCATTGGAAGAGTCGGCTTCTGTTTTGGCCACTTTACTTCTCGAGACCACTAATTCCGCCTCCTCCCCTTCTTCTTCTTCTGCATCCATTTGGTACATGTTGCGCTTCTTGATGCCTGCAAACCATATCACATCGGTCTTATGCAACTTACAACAGAAAGCTAACAAAAAGAAAACTTACTGATGATTTCATTCTCCGCCTCCTCGCATTGATCTGCATGACCTAAAACACGACAATAGACTTCGCTGTTAACAACAAACATTAACACAGAGGCGAAGCTTTGTACCACTTGCGATACAATGCAACCGTAGCAATGCAAACTAGCGAATAGAAAAAAAGATTGAAATAACTAAGGCGAAAAAATTTGTTGAAACAATGAACTTTTTTCTGGAAAAAATTAAAAAGTCAATTTCAGTAAAACAATTAGACACAACCACCAGCATGTAATACGCTTTTAGTATTTACCGAGCGGTCACTACAACGACAGTACATCGGTAAACGCCTAATGAGTCAAAAACAAACGCCATAGGAAATTATTGTCATATAAATTTTCTGAACGTTTTTAAAATAAATAATCCATTTTTGCCCTTCAAACACCACACAACAAGCTGACGGAGCCGATATAAAATAAGCCGAAACTATTCAGGCCGAATAAAGAAGCGAAAAAAAGAAAAAATACACTAGTAAGGCGAAAAAAACATAAGCAGACAAACGAATAGTCGATAATTCATTTTGCCGGAAAAAAAATTCAATTTCAAACATTTTAAAATACAAGGTCAGGCCGCGAAGGCGATCGCGTTACGTCAAGTTTAGGAGGGAAGAAGACAGCAAGTTTTTGAGGTCCAGCAAAAAAGCAAGCTCAATTTCTTACAGATTTTTAAGAAAAGTTGCTCGCGAGAAAAAAGTCTAGTTCCCGATTACAAGACACTTGCTCGCGCAATAATCTGTAATAACTTGAGTAATAAGTGTAATAACACGCGCAATAAGTAAAAAAAGAAACTGCGAATTAAAAGCTGCTGCAATTCAATTTTGAAATCTTATCTGAAACTGCTTCAATTAAGTTCTACAACTTTCAAACTCTAATCAAAAGCTGCTTGATACAAAATTAACATTTTGAAATCTAACCAGAAACTGCTTCAAATAAACTTTTCAATTGCTTAACTAAGCAGAGAACCTATCCAGAGCCATGTTAAACTGAATTTGAGCATTTTGAAAACCTAAGCAGAACCTGCTTTAATAAAAAAAATGAGTTTCTAGAGAAAATCTATACAGAAACTGTTTTAATTAAATTTCACAATCACGTTGTTGAAAATAATACCAGATGTTTTACTCTAGACTTTTGAAAACCAAACGAGAATCTCCGCAAAAGAAAATTACAATTTTAACAACGTAATCAAAAGTTGCTTCAATAATTTTACAACTTCTAAAACCTGACCAGAGCCTGTTCAGAAAAAAATGCATCAAAAAGAATGATTTGATCTAAAAATTTACATCAAACTAAAACGTTGCCATTTCATCGCAGACTGTGTCAATCTATAGAATAAGCATCTTTCATATCAAAACAAGCCTGACAATAAGCTTGAATTGATATTAGAAAACATATTTTTGATAAAGAACAAACAAGAAAAATGGAGAAAGAAAAAACATTTATCAAACCAAGAAAAATTCAATATGAAACTGCTTAAATTAAACTTTTCGATTCTAACCAAATTTTTCGATTCCAAAAAACCCAACCAGAAACATCTTCAGCTAACTTTTGCAATTCAACAAACCGAATCAGAACTTATTTCCTTCTACTGATTTTCCAATCACTATTTAATTATCATGGCTTTTTATATGAGCCTAACGTCAGTTTTTAAACAGTCGATTACTTGCAAACATTGCTATCTAAGTTCAAATTGTTTATACAGAGGCGAAGCGGAGTATTTTGAGCGGAGCATACAGAGGCTTGGCATCATTTGCGATACAACACTAACATAAAAAAAAAACAGAGACCGAAAAAAATTTGAAAAAAACTAGGTCATATAAACTTTCATGTCTCGATAGAATTTCATTCCAGGCAAACATGCCAGACAAACTCAAAACTCAGCACGTCACCTTGAGGGTGCAAGGTGTTGAAAATCGCCGAATGGTTGATGCACCTTTGGGCAAATTGTATTTTTTAGTTGTTTTAGCTTTTAGTTGCTGTTAGTGTGAGTTTTAGTAGAGTTGGAGAGGAAGCAGTAGTGAGGGTGAGTTATGTATGAGTGGTCGGGGGTGAGTAGGTGATGAGCCGGTGAGTTGTATTGGATGTTGAGAGAAAGACGCATACGCGTCTTTAAGGTAGAAGTTTGTACTGGTAACAGTTTGTGCAGAATAAATGTCATTGGTGCTGGTTAGTTGAAGTCACAGTAAGTAAAATGGATTCAACCGCAGCAGTGATGGTAGCGACGGATCAGCACGTTACATGATTCACATTTGATCTGAGTCGGTCCTGCGTTTGGTTCAATTCAGGACATTTGAAATCTAAGTTCAGGGATATGCTCTTATAGTCTACTGTCAGAGCCCGAACATAGCTCGTTAAAAACTTGAGATAAACTCTTCGAATTGTTACATCTTGGCATGTAGTCACAAATTTTTAAATTTTGGCAATGATACTGTAGTGCTGTAGTAAAAGTGCGCTTCCGTGCAAATCTTAAATATATGTTCTGTTTAGATAACGCTGGCTAATCGCAAGCGTAAACACAACTTACCATTGCAAAGTGCGCCATTGATTTTGAATGAAGCTGGATTTAAATGTTGACTTTGTTCGTTCATGTAGTAGCCAGTGAGACACACCTGAAGGCCTTCGATTGAAATATCTGAAACACAAATGGCATTTCTACTACTTAAAACTAAGAAAATAATCATACAACTAACACAGAAGCGAAGCTGCACTTCGAAAACACAAGCGAGAAAACGACCAAAAGGAGCTTTGAAAAGTGAAGAAAAGATACAAATAAGTCTTTAATATTGAAACTTTTGCGCTCTTTTCTACTTTCCCTGCCAAATTTTCTATTTTATCATTGTTTTACGTGTTACGAAGCTGGAAACACTTTTGCATGTTTCGGATTCGAACCTCCGACCTTGAGATAAGGAGTCTCACATCCTCGCTTATATGCCAAGGTCCTTAAAAATTTGCTAATACAAGTCACCAATACAGCCAATGCTACAGACAGTGATTATAGCAAAAAAGATACCAAATGAGCAATTTTATTTGCAAAAAATATTATAAAAACCTGGGTTATGGTCGTCTGACTCAATCAAGAACTCAATGTGTTCTCCTCTGGAGAAAGTGAGGTTGAGATTCTGCTGGTGTTCGTCTGAATTTAGATGGCATAGATGAAAATCCTGTTTAGCATGCCGCAGTACCACCCAGATCCCCGGACGAATGCCTGGAACTAAAATTCGAATTAGTTCTAGCGCAATGTACATTAACATCGAATTCATGGACCTTTCTCAATCTAGCCCCCAATAGTAAAATCAGTGTGGAGGGGCTATAATTTATTTGTTACAAGGCTGCGGTGCTATAGTAACAAAGACTCGACTTCATCTATGGAGTATTTTTAAAAGCTTGTGTAGGTAGACCAAACTTGTTTGGACTTCAGTATTAAGCCCACGTGCTAGTGAGGCCATCCCCAATTTTCCGTATAATAGCACAAATAAACGAAATTTTAACTTACCTAATGACCTTAGAGGGGACGAGGCAAAAAATTATCCAAATTAAAGGTCATTTGTTTTACTGTATAGCCTAGTTTTTGAATTTCAGACGCTGTCATGGTCTGGTAATTTTTAGAATTCTAAACATCTCAAATTACATCAGCTATTTCTACCACGATTGCGTTTCACATCAGATCAATTTTTCACAAAAAGTGACATTCGGAAACACGAAATAATCCAAGGTTCATGCGTACAGCCAATGAAACTCTTCGTCTTAAATTCGTAACCTTTATGGGCCTTAAACAACTCAAAATCTCTGTTCATAATAGTCAAAAAAACCTTATCATATAATTTACAAAATCGGTGGTCTTTCTATGTCAAATGTGCTTTCTAAAATGCCTAATTTCAAGGACAATATTAACATAGAATTCTAACAATAATTTTACAGAGACAGACAGCAATTGATCTAAATCAGGGTTGAAAAAAAGTATATATTTAAATATATTGTCGCCGGAACATAAATACATTTTTTGCTCGGGAAAAAATACTTTCACTCAGAATCCTTTATTTTCTTAACAACTTTATCAATAACATTGATGCTCCAGTGTTTTTTGTTTACAAACTTAAACAACTGCTCTTCAAAACGGACCGGAAAAACTAGTTAGCAATTTACGTTGAGTGTCTGGCTGGCCCGACCGAAAAGTCGCTCAACAACAGCTAGCAAAATTAGTTGAAAAAACGAAATCTGGAGTTATTTTGAACAAAAAAAAACAGATTAGGCCTACCAAAAAAAACGAAGTGAAGATGATCAAATCATTCAAATATGGAAACTAATCGCATAAAAACATTAGTAGTAGTAGTAGTAGTAGTAGTGAAGGCTTTAGGATTTCTCCATGGGTTTTGAACCCTCGTTTATAAGTTCATAATTTTTCCCGGTGGGTTGCAGTTTCCACACCAGCAAAGAATTCTCCACATACACAAGTTGTTTTCTGCAAAATTTCTGTTGAAGAATTTCCAAAACGTGTTTGTTATAGATATTTTCAGGCTGTCATAATCTTGATTTTCGAAGTCCACAATTTGGCTAAAGTAGTTGTATAGCGTATTAGAACGTATATAATAATTTTCATTTGACTTTTTCAGTCTTGTTGCATGAACAGCAATCTCACCACGTGTTGCTTGTCTCGTTCGTGATTCGTTTTTATGAATAATTGTATTCAAATCAATGTCATGTTTATTTTTTAGTAGTGAAACTAAGTACAATATGTCGTGTAATTCAAAGTACATTGAGAGTGGAAGGAGCTTTAAAAATTTCAGTCTTTCAGTATAACTCATTTTGAAGTTATTTGTAATCCAAGATGTCGCTCGTTTTTGTACTCTTTCTAGTTGTCTTAATTCTGCTTTGTTCGGATACCATGTTTGCGATGCATAGCTTATGATTGGTACGATGTATCCGCAGTATAAGTTTAATTTTGACTTTAATGATGTTTTTTTCGAGATATTTCGTTTGATTTTGTAAAAAGCTCCCATTGCTTTTGATATGCGATTTTCAGCATTTACTGACCACGAAAGGTTGTCACACATTAAAATACCTAAGTCTTTTTGGGTCTTTGCGGTATCAACATTTGTATTAAATAGTGTAACTTCCATTTTCCCTTTGAGGTTTAACAAATTACATTTATCTTCATTCAGCGGCATTTTATTTTCTTTGCACCATTTTTCAACATTTGCCGTGTCTTTTTGCAGATGAATTTCTTCAGTAGACAAGATCTTCATATCGTCACAATAGCCAAAACAATCTGAATTCTCAATGCATTTGGGAAAGTCGTTAATGAATATGATAAAAAGTAGAGGGCCAAGAATTGAGCCCTGTGGTACACCGCTAGTTACTTCTTTCAGAGTTGATGAACTTTTATTGATTTTCACAAACTGCATTCTATCTGTTAGATAGTCTTGTATTATGTCTTGTATTTGAATGCTTAGACCTATGTTCCGTAGTTTGGCGACTAGGATACTATGAGGAACTTTATCAAAGGCTTTAGAAAAATCTAGATAAAGGACTGATAGTGTTTGAACATTTTTGTCATCGTAGAGTTCATATACTTTGCTCAAAAATTGTACCATTTGTAGTACTGCTGACCTTTTTTGCCGGAAGCCGTATTGTGCGTTTTCCAGGAAAGGTTGAACTTTGGGGTATATATTATCAAAGATAATTTTTTCGAAGACCTTCGAGGCGGAGCATAAGAGGCTAATTGGGCGGTAGCACTCGACTGACGCCTTGTTCTTTTCTTTAAAAATTGGGGCCACTTGACTTGTTTTCCAGTAGGTCGGGAAGAGCCGCTTGTTAATGAATGTGCGGAAGAGAAGATAGAGCGATTTTGACAGAGTTTCAGAAAGATTTTTTAGGATTATATTACCTATACCATCAAAACCTGACGCTTTATTTGTTAAAAGATTTTTGAGAATGTATTGGATTTTGGTTTCTTCAATGTGTATTTGTGTACAGATTTCTTCTGTAGGAGAACAGTTTGTATTTCGTGCGAGAGGGTTAGGAATTGATTCCTTTTGATATACACTGATGAAAAATTCGTTAAAAAATGTAGCTTTTTGGGTGTCATCTCTTGTGGATTTTTCCTTGTAGAACATTTTTTGGGGATATTTCCTGGAACTACTTATTTTGTTCAAGTATTTTTTTGCAGGTCACTGAATCGTCTACTGCTTGTTACTGTTTCTTCGTAAATTGCTTGATCTTCAGTCAATGCTATTTGAAGATTTTTTTCCAATTTTTTGTGTTTTAGGATAATGCTTAAATTAGGTTTGTTTTGCCGATCGATACGCCGTTTTAAGGTTTGTACTCTTTTTAGCATGTGAGACGTACTTGGCTTCACCCATGGGGGGAGAGTTGATCTGTGTGATGTAACCTTGGGTACATTGTTCTTTATTTTGTCCCATAACCATGCATACCACTGACGAAGGAGCTCATTTACATTACTGTAACAATACGGTATGAAAGGTTTGTCTTTTATTTCTTGATTTATTATCTTCCAATCGGCTCTGTTAAACGCCAGACTTTCATCTTTGTTTATTTCTTTGATACTGGCTTCCATGTTAATTGTTGCAGAGTAAGCATAATGATCTGAGCAAGAAACTTTGTCGATGCTGTATGCGTTTGTTGCTGAATGGTCCGTGTGCCAGTTGAGTATTACTCCAGGGTTGTTTGTTAATAAAACATCAAGCTGCTTTTTTTTGGAGTCGAATAATTGTTCATAGTCAAGTTCAATGAGCTTTTTTAACACTGCATTTTCATATTTGTCCTTTGAGTGCATCATTTTCCAATGAGTGTATTCAAAATTTATATCTCCCGTAATCGACACTGCGTTACAGTTGTGTTGTATTTGTAATTTTGTTAGGTTTTCGAACAAACTGATGAAGTTTTGTTGTTTCCATTGGTATTTACTGTTTTTCGGGGGATTATAAACACAGCAGAGTATTTGATGATGCCCAGTTTCACCTGTTAGTTTGGCCACTATGCATTCTTCATTTTCTATTTGAGCATCAATTTCTTCGTAATGCACATTTTCTTTTATCGCCATGAGTACGCCTCCGTGATTGGTTTTTAAAGTGGAGTTTTTTCTATCTTTGCGAATTATATTAAAACCAGCCAAATGCAGAGCTTTATCTGGTATTTCCTTTACCAGCCATTTCTCTGTGAGACATAGTATATCGTAGTCTGTTTGTAAAATGGCATTTGAAAGAGCTATTCTTCTGTTGATGTCTAAAATACTTCTGACATTTAGGCATAACATTTTTAAATACTTGGCAGTAGGTAGTCAATTGCTTTCTTCGACTTTTTTCCAATTTCCACTTTCTTCGTCATATTGGTAAAGGACAAGGTCCCTTAGCCTTAGGTTTTTAGCTGATACTCCAGTTTCTATCATTGTTCGTCTTTTCATAAGAAGTTTGTTAGCCACCCTGAGCAATAATTTTTCAGTTTCAAGGTTGACTATTCGACGCTTCGGATGCAATTGCAACATGGTTATAAGTTTCGATCGATACTGCTTTATGAACTTTTGACGTTATGTTTATTTCGTTTTATATTCCGTTGATGTCTAGACAGTTGCTCTTTTTAATTAATTCTGTCTGTCCTAAATTTTTGCAACTCTCCTTAGTATAGAGAGTTGCAAAAAGTTAGGATAGACAGAATTAATTGAAAAGAGCAACTGTCCAGACATCAACGGAAATTAAAACTGAAAATAACATAACGTCGAAAGTTCATAAAGCAGTTTCGCTCAAAACCTATAACCACGATGGGCAAAATCTGAACAGCACTGATTGCTCATTTAAATTAATTCTGTCTCTCCTGTTTGCTACTAATTATACATCCACATAAGCTGTGAATAATTTTGAATCAAAAACTTACCAATTTTGTCTATTGCACAGGCTTTGGATACATGGAAAGGCGACTCAACTAGTTGTTTGTACTGTTTATTTGGCTCAATTACAAGACCTATAATCGCAAAGAGATACGATACAATTACATAACTACATGAAGGCAAATTTATTAATTAAGTATGTTAAAGCTAACCCCAAAACATTTTGACCCTGCCTTTTTGGTCTTTCAACTTTATCTAAAACAAAAATATCTGTTTGAAGAGAAAATTTGAATTAAGCACCTACGGGCGATTGGACTTAAGCAACTACCAAATTGTCAGAAAACTTAAAATGATCACAGCGAAGCTGAGCTTTGCTCTATTTGCGATACAAAAATGATTATGATTAAAAGGGTAACTCGAATACAAGTTTGCGACGGATTAGAGGCAAGAATTTTTCTCTTTTTTTAAAGGAAAAAATCAGGTCAAAAGTATCATAGTAACTGAAATTTCAGTCAGGATTCCTTTCATCACTTATTCTAGTCAAAATCATAGGAATTTTCCAAACATGCAAGAGTGAGGAATAAAGTGAACAGAAGTGAATAAAGTGGATAATGTAACATTCACCCGGAAGTACATATCGACGGAAAATAAAGCTAGGCTGTAAAACAACTGGCTAGCGTCTAAACACAGCTCTACATGCTTTTAACCGTCTCTACCAAAGCCAGTTCTTTGTGTGGTCCTTTTAACATCGGGTCGACAAAATCGTTACTGTTTTGGGCTATCGGCCAGAACGCTCAGATTAACTTAGTAACATGCAAAATAGCGAGCTCATGGCTGGGTCTCAGTATCCCCAGACCATGAGTACACTCCTAAAAACAGGGCTATTACTTATTTCCTATATTACTATTGTTTTTGTTCAGCAGATAAAAATCATCACATCCAGCGGAGATGGATCAAACCTTTCCCTCAACTCCTAGCTTTTCATACTCTGATAATGTGATAAAGAATTCGACGTTAACTAAATTTAACTCAGGACATTCCAGGATGATAAAAGTTGTTCAAATAGAGTTTCAGTCTTCTTCCCGAGACCCTTCCGGATTTTGGAATCCGGACGAAGAGCGGTCTTATCTCCCGTCCGGAAGGCTGGTGAAATCGTGCCAATACCATTCTTGTTTCTCGGGAAGTCTTCGGTAACGATTTTACAGTTACTATCGTTACAATTCGGAATGGTTTTCCGTTAACGTCGTAAACTATAATTTCGTCGTTCATTTTTATTCCTTGTACGTCTTCTCTGTGTCAGCGCATATTGTTCCTCTGTTTTCGCACATTTTCAGTTGTAGCTTAATCTTAAGGTCGTGACGTGTTTTTATTTCAGAACGAATACTTAAAATTTATTTCGTCACTTCGAATTGATCTTTCCGTATTCGTTAAATCGTACGTTTAAAAAGTTAATCTTCCAAAACTTTCAATCTTCTCAGTCCACGGTTACAATAAAATTTCGAATTTGCCATGCATTTCGGCGCCATTCTGGTCGAATGTCACAATAGTAACCGAAATTACAGTCAGGATTCCTTTCATCACATTTTCTAGTCAAAATCCTAGGAAATTTCCAGACAAGGAAGAGTAAAGGTTTAAATGGATAGAAGAAAACAGAGTCACATGGTTGTGAATCAAGCCAACCATATTGAGAAAACTAACATCTGCACAAAATAAACCGGAGTTAAAAGAAACTCATAAAGATTGAACTGATATGAGGCTGCAGGTCTATCAAATACCTCTACAAAATGCGCTTTTGTTCCGTTGACTCTATGATACTTTGGTTCATTTAACACTTGTATGATGCTTTAGGGCGGTTTTTTGATTGGTCTCTTGTATATATTTAATTGTTTTTGGTCAAATACCGCTCAGGGAGCGACGGGACGGCCAATCACCAGACCCTTCACGGTACGGGATTTTTCGATTCTAACTAAGTTAAAAAGCTAAGTCTTGGAATTCGGTAGGCTTCGAACCAACCTTCCGGCTTTTGGTTAAGTGCCTATTTAGAGAATCCGCTCGGTGTGGTGTGCTTCGTTATCGGGTCTGATGACCATGAGGATAAAAAAATAACACCCAGCAGCGCCATGTAACAGTCGTTTACTTATGTCATATATGACGTTAAGATGACGTTACTTAGCGTTTCCGTTTTAAAATTTTTCCGGTTGACATGTTCGATATTCCGTGCCAAAAGTATTTTTGGACTAAAATCTCAGTGTTAGCTCCTTGCTTCTGAAAAGGAGTAGGGAGCTAACACTAAGATTTTAGTTCAAAAATTAGGCAGGTGCTACTCACTCGAAATCTCTTATAAACTACATAATCACCAATCTTAGTTTAAAAAACCCAACAAACAAATTACTCATATTTATGAAGTTGTTAAAACAGACCACGTGGCAAATATTTTCATAACTGAACTTAAACTATGAGGAAAAAAATCACTTCAAACGCAAATTACTTGATAAAAAAACAACTCATCAAATATTAAAGAAAAAATTAAATGGGAAAACTACTACCGGAAAAGTAACCAGAAGCCATGTTCAACATATTCAGTCAAAATATTTTTAAAAAATAAAAATATGTGCTCACAAAAAAAATCTTTATACGTAAGGGTTAACCAAAAATAAACTTACAAGATAGGATTTTCATATCGCAGTAATTCAATTTAAAAACGATTTTGAAAAATAGATGACTAAGTGTTCGCTCTCTACTCCTGAACTTATCCCGCGTGTTGATCGCTGGCCTCAGTATCCTAATAAGCAACGCTTCCAAAGGTAGGAGTTTCATTGTGTTGTTTGAGTGATCTATTATCTCCCAACTCAACTGTGCTTCATCTCCACACTGACATATTTCTCCTCGATTTTCGAAAAAAAATTTTGCTTGTGTTTTGTTTAAGTTCTCATAAGAATTACCGAGGACAGGTCGTAGAGGTGTATCCTTTTTATGTACTTTAACCAGTCCTTAAAGTTGTGCAGGTTGACTACCAAATGACCTCAAACTCGCAATTAAGCCATCTGTAATCTCAATCCTTTTTTTTCATGGCCAGTAGATCTTTGTTCAATTTTTTTTTCAATTTTTGAACAACTGAATCAGTCATACTATCAAGTCACTCAAACTGTTCTGATTCTAGCAATTGGGTCAGTTTTCCCTCATATGCGTGTTTTTTATGATGCAAAACCCGACACCCTTATCAAAAAGTAAAACCACTAGTTCGTTGTATTGAGATATTCTCCAGCTTTTCCAACTCTCATATCACTTGGAGTCTGAAGTAGTTTTTTTATGTAGTACTTAGCATCCGCTTCAGTTTCGCATAATTTTTTGACAAGGATATCATGCTTCTTCAGTTCCGACAAAAAACATCTATGTCTGCTGAAAAGTGGTTTTCATTGAACTTGTCACGAACTGGATGTTTTAGCCCCATAGACAGCAACTCATCTACCCATCCCGGCAATATTATCTCATCTAGTACTTTTACCGCTTTGCTGCGTATCTTTCCTAGGGCGCTTTCTTGTCTATCAGCTAACTTCTCAATTTTCTTAGAGTGACTGAGGCATGGGGCTAAAGCCTTGTCCCTTTATTGATGCAGAACATTGTTAATGACCGATGGCCATAACCTCTCATCAATTGTTCTCCTAACTATGTCCCTTACCTTGCCCAAGTCTTCCGCTGCCCAACCACTATCCTCTTTTGCCCTACCCAACACTCTCCTAAGTAATTTAAATTAAAAGCTGAGAATCGCTTTCTGAAAAAAGCCCTATCCCAGGCACCCTAAACCTCTAAAGAATAGGTATAATTTTGGTATCCAGTCACTTTTTCAAAAATTTAAGGCGATTTTGTCTATTGTTAAATTTATTCAAGTACTTTTATAATTCATCACAGTTTTCCACAAAAACCTTGTTCTGAGAAAGAATCTCTGGAACTTCGGTGGTAAATGCACAATGTTCATTGCCTTGCTGGCCACAAGAAACAAAAACTGAGAAGGCGCTAACAGCGCAAATCCAAAATTGCAACTTACCTCACTGTAGTTCCGGCTTTTCGTCCTTCGGCTGTCTATCCGCAGCTACCCGCTTCGCCTGTGCCCTGCGCCGGGTCTGCGAAGGTTTTTTTTGCTGCCTCTTCTTTTGGAAATCAGCTCTGCAACCGCTCTTTGTGCTCCCATACCTGGTGCAGAGACTTTATTTCGAGCTCGTGTTGTTGGTGGAGCTGGCTGTAGCCTTCGATGATCTCGGGTTTATACTTCTGTTTGACTTCAGAGAACCGAAAATTTTTCGGCGATATGGTCAGAATACCTGTCTTTGTCAATTTCTCCAATACATTTAGGGCACCCTTCCTTTTACAGTATATTGTGACTCAAATATGGTCCTTTCTGTCTTCTTTATTCTTGACGACACCGCCGATTGAGCTAGGGGAAAAATGGTTTGTCCTGTGGCTTGTCAAAGAGTTATTGATAAAGCCTTGCGGAAATACCAAATTATCTTCTCCCCTCAGTGGGCTTTTATTGAGCAAAAACAACAGATTTTTGACCCTGTTGACTTGATTGTGGTTCAATGCAATACCCGGTATGTCTGTGATGTGCCCCAAATATTTTTTTTCTCTTCTGCGTCGAGGTTTCTTAGGCTGTGCGCAAGAGAACTGGTTGCCACAATTTGGATCATTCTTCACATAAAAACATCAGTAAAGGAACAAAAAATAGAATAAAAAAATGGCAAACTTCTCAAAAGTCTTTTCACTTCTCTTTATCAAAGTTTCGAATTGCTAAATGATTTTAAAACTTGCGGCCCGTGGGGGTAAAAAAATTCAAAATCCAAATTTATAGCTTTTCTGGGGTCTAAAATTACACATAAATTGTTAAGAAGTAAAATTATTAAAATGAGGGATCGAACGTTTCCGGAATTATCTCTATCATCAGGTTAATAAAATTGATATAAAAAGATTTACAGACGTTAAACTCTCATAAAAAATCATTAAGTGGTTCCAAACGAAAAATAAAATCTTTCCACTTATCAAATTTAACCATTTTAAGAAGTTTGTAACCATTTATTTTCTTTAAAATTCTGAGGTTTCAAATCTTACTTAGCGTTTCCTTATACTAATCTTTCGATTTTACAATTTTTTGATCGACATGTTCGATATTCCGCGCAAAAAGTATTTGTGGGCTAAATAAAATCGAAGTTTTAGCTTATCACTTCTGAAAAGGAGACGGGAGCTAACACTTAGATTTCAGTCCA